GCTAGCCGACAGAAGACACTGAATGGTCTTCCTATGGGGTGAAGGGACCACACATGCTCCAGGTCAACTGGGGTCAGAACTTAAAGCCAAGAACTGAGTTCAGGTCCCCACCAGGACCTTGCTCCCTCATTCCCTGGTACAGCACCATGGCCACTCCCCTAACCCCCTGCCCATAAGGAAAAGATGACTGCACTCCAAGGAGACAGGAGGACAGACAACATCCAAAGGTGCCCTGGCCCAGTGACTGAATCTGCAGTAACCTTAATAGGATGACAGGGGTTTCAGGTAGTTCTGTTTTTGTTTTTGATGGTGCTAGGGATTGAACCCAGGGGCCTTGTCCTTGCTGGGCAAGCAGCTCTGCCACTGAGCCACATCCCCACACCAAGTAGTTCTAATTTTTAAATGCTAAAGAGAGAGCTGGGCATGTACCTCATGGTGGAGTATTTGTTTGTTTGTCATGTATAAGGCCCTGCAACACGAAGAGAAAAAAGCTGAGAAGAGTTCAAAGCAGGAATGATTAAATAGCATCCTCTGTACTCGATAACTGGATTAATAGGCAGAAATCAAATTGTGGTGATTAACAAGTGAATGAGGGATGAGGACATTGAGACCACAAATAGAAACTCCTTTTTCAAGAAGCATGACTAGGAAAGGAAATAGGGGAACTAGAGCAGATTTTAGGACTAAAGAGGGGTGTTTAAAGAACAGGCAGAATTGAATATTTTTACAGAATTGCCAAAGCATTGAGCTGAAATGAAGTGGCCTGAAACTGCAAAGGTAGCATTTCCAGATCTAGTGAATCTCCGTGTTGGGTACATAATCCCGTGGCTTAGTTTTGGACGTTGCAATTTGTGCTAATTTATAGGTTCTTCCTCCTCCCCTTGCTGCTGCTTCTCCTCTTCCTCCTCATTATTATTTTGATGATGATGGTGGTGGTGGTGGTGATAAAACCCACTGAGTTACATTCGAGCCCTTTTTATTTTTTATTTTGAAATAGGATTGTGCTGAGTTGTTGAGGGTGTTCTCAAATGTGTGATCCTCTTGCCTCAGCCTCCTGAGTTGCTAGGATTATGGCCTGTCCCATAGTGCCTGGCTTAGTAAGTACCTTATTCCCACCTAGGCCAGCTGCCTTGCTCGCAGACAGGTGAGGCCCTCTTGCCATATCACTCAGTCTCCTGGGAAGATCTTCAGATTCCTTGCTCTAAGCCTCCCTCACATCAGCTGCTTCCATGAAGATATCTCTTCTGAACATCTTGTTTGAGATTAGGCCAGTTGCCAAGGATGTACGCAGTCATAGTTTTCAAAAAGTGTTATTTGTGACTGGATTAAAAGTTTATAGCATATGGCTGTGCTTGTGCCCCTGTACCCCTATAGAGTGCATGCCTCAAATGCATAAGGCCCAGGACTCAATCTCTAGCCAAAAAGAAAAAATAATTGTATATTCTCAATAGTCTGTACCCAAGAATTAATGCCAGATATCAAACTGGTGACAGTGGTGAGTCCTAGGAGGACTGGGGTAGGGGAAGAGTGAAGAGTGGTCAAGGGCCTTATCTATACCACTTGAAATTTTAAAATGAGAGTTAAAATTAAAAAGAACCATGATGAATAGTCAAGTTTGAAAATTAAAACACTTCTGTATCACTAGTAGAAAGTAAATATTGTTAGCTGACTGTGTATTTCTTTCATCTTGTTATATTCACAGGAAGACTTGAAGTTCCAGTTATATCCTGTAAATTTAGTTAGGCACTTGGCTTTGGAGTTTAGCAAGACTCAGGGTTTGATTAGTACAGGATCCATAGAACCCCCCATTGTGAACCTCAAGTCCAGTTTCATTGCCCTGTAAGAGATGAGGAGAAAACTTGAGTGGTTCATAGTTTACTGCTACAACTGCACATGATCATCAGGTGGTTACAGAGTAGTTCTGAATGTTTTGAAGAAATTTGCCATTATTTATTCCTTGGAAGGAAAATAGTGCTGTAGACAACTTCAACTAAGTAATTTCAGATGTTAAATTTAGAATTAACATTTGTGTGGACCTTGAGTGCAAGTGCACCTGATGCAGTAGTGCAGGCACACTCTTCCATACACTCTGGACTTAGGGTGCTTGGGGGTGGAGTGCACCTGGAGTCCCAGCTGCGTAGAGGCTGAGGTGGGAGGATCTCTTGAATCCAGGAGTGCAAGACCAGCCTAAACAACATAGCAAGACCCCATCTCCAGGGGCGGCAAATAAAAAAAGTACTTGGAAAATTGCCTGTTTTCCCTTGCCTGCTTAACCTGTGCTGTTAACTGCCGTTATCCTTTTCCCCTCACTGAATGCTGGCAAGTGTCTGAGACTCATGACAGAGCAGGCAAAGGACTAAGATGGTTACTGTCTTCTTAACTTGTCTGTTAAGAACATATGTAATAATGAGCTACTTTGTGAAGTTGGAACAGAATTTGTACTAATGATAAATCTAAAGAAGTTGTGGTTTAGCCTGGGCAGAATCTTTGATTAAAATAGGGAACTAAAAATCAGTCTGTATTCTTTTATAGTCTATGGTTGATTGACAAAAAATTTAAAAATCTGATAATTCTCTGAGGTGTGCTGAGGGTCAGACATAACCAACCTATGGTTCTTAAGGCCTCTGTGAGGACCAGACCAGCTAGCTCTTGAGCTGTTGCAGTGCTGTTCAGTGGGAGAAACATCTGCACTAAAGTACCGAGTTCCTTGGATTCCACTGGGGTTTAGTTCAATTTATGCTCTATTGAACTCCTGCCCAACCTAATTTAAAGTTGTCTAAGATACAGTCCTTGCTGTCAGTGAAGAAGACATCCGTGTGGACAGAACCAGTATAAGATGATCTACCTCAAAGGAGAGTAGCACTTCACCCAGCCAAGCAGGCACAGAAAATTTCCAGTAGAAGCCGCGTGGTGGCAGAAGCCTGTAATCGCAGCAAATGAGGCAGGAAGATCACAAATTCGAGGCAATTTAGCAAAACATTGTCTCAAAACAAAAAATAAAATGGTTGGGGATATAACTTAGTGGTAAAGCTCCTGGGTTCAAAGGAGACAGATAAAAGATGAGTAGAAGGGAATTAGCAAAGGGCCCTCAGTAGGCATTAGTGCATGAGTGTGGGCAACAAGGAAACCAGGCACAGTGCTTATAGGTAGAATGGGAAGATAAGATAGGTCTGAGGAGATTTTGGATTTGACCCTAAAGTAATGGGTAGTTATTGACTGAATACAAGTCAGTGCACATCCACAAAGGTCAAATTTGCTTTTGAAAAAGAGGCATTGCACCAGGAATGTGCAGTAGCACATGCCTGTAACCCCAGCAAATCAGGAGGCTGAGACAAGAGGATCGCAAATTTGAGGCCCTCCTAGACAACTTAGTTAGACCCTGTCTCAAAGTAAAAAATAAAAAGTGCTGGGAGTATAGCTCTGTAGTAGTGCAACCCAGGCTTCAATCCCCAGTACAATAGAAAAAAGAAAAAGACACATTGCATTGCTAGGACAACAGTGTGTGTAATAGAGAGATAGGAATGAAATTTAAAACATATGGGTTCTTGCTGGGCGTGGAGGCACACTCCAATAATCCGTCCCAGTGGCTGGGGAGGCTGAGGCAATAGGATCGCAAGTTCAGAGTCAGCCTTAGCAGCTTAGTAAGGCCCTAAGCAGCTTAGCAAGACCCTGTCTCTAAATAAAATGTAAAATGAGTTGGGATGTGGCTCAGTGGTTAAGTGCCTCTGGGTTCATTCCCCAGTACCAAAAAACGAAAAAACAAACAAAAATTATGGATTCTCAACACCGTTCCGTCAGAGATTTATTGATCTAAAAGGGTATTAAGTAAAATAAGTAAAAGTGATGACAGATAAGGTCACCGGATGCTTTCAGGATTTGCTAAAGTGACATTTCCAGCACTGGAACATAATATGGGACTAAAACTACACCTAACAGCCTGTAGCCACCAGGAGAGGAATGTGCTCTCATGGACAGAAGCATTAAGTTGATTGTGAAATAAAGGGACCAACTTCCAAAGAGCTTTCTAATAGCAGTTCAGATGCTGATCACAGATAAGCTGAGGCTGGGCTCACCATTGTTTTGACCACCCTGTCACACACAGTAGGTGCAGTCTTGAGCTGGAGAACCTCTAATACTTGTTTCTGCCTCTGTAAAATGAAGGCACTGGCCATTTCACATATCTTCAGATGCCTGTATATGGACAGATATCTATCTATATGTTCATTCATCAACATATTCAGACTTTTGAATATATCTTAGCACATCATAAAATTGTCACTGCATTCATTAGCAGATTGCTATTAATTTAATTTGAAGAGACAATTCCAGCCATTATTTGAGAATGGATTGGGGAGAAGCAAGAGTAGAAGCGGGGAACAGCTAAGAGGCCTCCACAGGGAAAGTGATGACCTCAGTGGAAATGAAGAATTGTGGTGGATTTGAGATACAGATGTTGAGAACAGAAATGGTAGGGCTTATGTGAGGTACTCTCGGGTAGGTGAGGTTCCAAGAAAGAACTTCAGGTTCTGCCTTGATGAAGACAGTGGAGATGGGAGGAACTTGGGCAGAGTGAAGATGGAGTTTGGGACAAGTTGAGTTTGTAGTGATTGTGAGACATCCAGATGGAGACACTGAAAAGGCAATGTTTTGGGGGGTAAAACAGTAAATAAAAAAGTTTTGATAATAGGTTTTAATGTCCCTTTAGAAAGTGTTCCAATTTATGTTCCTAATAGCCATTTGCCTTGACTGAGCTTGCATTTGGTGCCCTACCCTATACTAGGCCTTTCACACATAATTAAACTTCAAAAGAACCTTCTGAGGTAGATGCTGTTACTGCCCTAGTGTTGGATGGGGAAGTCTTCGCTTGGGAGGCCCGGCCACTGGCCTGCGGGCCAGCTGCTGTGAAACAGGGAGCTGGATTTGGATGGGGCTTCCTGATCCACTTTTTCTCTGGAGTCTTCCATGGAGCACGTAGCTCATTGTGATTTTTCTCTTTTCAGGGTTTTGGTTTTTTGCACTGAATGTAACCTAGACTCATCGTCTCAGGCCTGCGTTGCCCCAAGATACTGTCAAAGGTAAGTTTTTAAAATTGACATCCACCATGTATTGGTAATGGAATGGGAGAGTCTTTATCTTAAAAAGAAGGAAAATGGGCTGGGTCCATAGCTCAGTGGCAGAGTACTTGCCTGGTACGTGTAGGCACTGGGTTCCATCCTCAGCACCACAGAATAATAAATAAGTAAAATAATCTACAACTAAAAAAAAACAAACAATTTTTTTAAAGGTTAAAAAAAAAAAAAAAGGAAAAGAGCTGGGGCTATAGCTCAGTTGGTAGAGCTTGCCTCACATGCACAAGGCCCTGGGTTCAATCCTCAGCACTGCATACACACAAAAAGGAAAGTATGTTATGATGTTGTTGCTTCTTTGCAGATTTCTTATAGAAGGAAATTTTTGAATTCCTACTTTGGTAGGTCCCTTTAAATTGCACTGGTTTTGGTGGTGGGAATGTAGCTCAGTGGTAGAATACTTGCTTAACTTGCATGAGTCCTGCATTTGACCCCCAGCACTACATAAAACAAAGAAAAAGAAAGGGGCATGGGGAGGGAGGGAGAGGGGACAAGCTATGGTGTTCAGATGGCTACTGACATTTGGTGCTTTATCCTATAAAGCAGGACCTTACTAGGATTAGCAGTTGCGCAGTTCTATGTGAGAAGATTGCCTGCTTCTCTGCCTCTGGTCTCCCTGCTCCATTCTGCAGTACACATTCCTGCCTGGGTTTGCTTTCTAGATGAGAGATTTAGCCATGTCACTGCTTTGCTGAAACAGCTTCCGTGGCTCCCAGTGGTTGCTGATGCTAATCTACAAACCCCTTCAAAATCTAATTCCAGGCATGGATTCTGGCTTCTGTGGGGAATCCCTGTCTGTAAGTCTTTTGATTGGTTATTTATTTTTGCGATGCAGAGGAGTGAACCCAGGCCTCATGTGTACTAGGCACACACTGAGCTTTACCCCCAGCCCTCAGTCTATAAGTCTCACCAGATCATTTTCTGTTTCCTAAATATGTATGGTTTTGTGCCTTGGTTGATGCTTTTCTCTTTGCTCAGAGTGTAGCAAAATGCAGCTACCTGCTCTTCTTTTTTCTACCTTTCCTATTTTCCTGTTCTCCCAGACTGCTATAGAATTCCTTTTTCATGTGTCTTAAGAACTCCTCTTGTGGGGCTGGGGTTGTGGCTCAGTGGTAGAGCACTAGCCTCACATATGGGAGGGCTTGGGTTTGGTCCTCAGCACCACATAAAAATAAATAAAAATAAAGGTATTGTGTCCAACTACAACTAAAAAATAAATATTTTTAAAAAGAGAACTCCTATTGTTATTGTGATAATAAATTACCCCTAACTTAATGTGAGTTTTTTTTTGTTTGTGTCCATCATCTTTACTATTCTGTAAACTCTTTGAGGCTTCTTGGAAAGAAACTTTTTAAAATTTAAATGAATTTATTTAACTGATACATAAAAACATACAAATTGGACATATTTGTCTGGTTCTATCTGATATTTTTGATACATGTATACACCGTGTAATGTTTTAAGTCAGGTTAAACATCTGTCTCCTCAGACATTCATGATTTCTTTATGGTGATAACATCCAAAAATTTCTTTTTTCTAGCTTTTTGAAATTACATATTTGTAGTCACTCTACTGGCAACAGCACACTTGAACCAGGAACTAAGAACTAACTTTTTTTTCTCATTATTGTGCTGGGGATAAAACCCAGGGCTCTGTGCATGCTTAGGCCTGTTGGCCACTGCTGGACACCTTAGTAAAGCTATACATTCCTTGTTTAATCCTTCTGTACTTCTACCTGCCCGGTGTATGAATGAAAATAACTAAGGATTAAAAGTTAATGCCAAATATGACAGTGCAACCATGTAATCCCAGTGATGTGGGAGGCTGAGGCAGGAAGATCACAGGTTTGAGGCCAGCCTTAGCAACTGAGCAAGACCCTGTCTCAAAATTTTAAAAAAATTTAAAAAGGGCTGAAGGTGTAGCACAGTGGTAGAGCATTCCTAAATTCAATCCCAAGTACTAAAAAAAAAAGACAAAGAAAAAGAAGGTTAATAACTTGTCCAAGATTATACACCTAATAACTGACAAAGAAGAAGGATTTTGTTTCTTCAAAGTCAAAGCTTATTCTACTACACCATACTAGCCCAGCACCATTTGACATGTGGTAGAAACTCACTAGATGTTTTCTGCATTCATATGTATTACATTTTAATTTTTTATTTTTTTATTCTACCATTTTCTTTATACTTTTTTAAAAATTTGTTTTAATTAGTTACACATGACAGTACAATGATCTTGACATATCATACATTTGAATCAGATGGGGTATAATTTCTCATTATTCTGAGTGTATAGGTTGCAGAATCACATTGGTCATGCAGTCACGTATATACACACAGCAATAATAATGTCTATTTTATTCTGCTGTCCTTTCTTTCCCCGCTTCCCCTCCCCTCCCCTCCCATCACTTCTCTCTACACAATCTAAAGTGACACACTTCTTTTTTGTTTTTTCCCTCACATTGTCATACATGTATTCTGTATAACGAAGAGGGTCTCCTTCCTTCTTCGTGCAGTTCCCTTTCTCCCTCCCTTTCCCTCCCACCTCTCTTCCCTATTGAGTGGTAATCTTCTTCTCATGCTCTTCCTCCCTATCCCATTTTGAGTCACCCCACCTTATATCAGAGAAGACATTTGGCATTTGTTTTTTAGGGATTGGCTAAACTTCACTTAGCATAATCTGCTCTAATGCCATCCATTTTCCTGCAAATGCCATGATCTTGTTATTTTTTTAGTGCTGAATAATATTCCATTGTGTATAAATGCCACATTTTTTTTTTTATCCATTCATCCATTGAAGGACTTCTAGGTTGGTTCCACAGTCTAGTTATTGTGAATTGTGCTGCTATAAACATTGATGTGGCTGTGTCCCTGTAGTAATGCTGTTTTTAGGTCTTTTGGGTTTAGTCCGAGAAGAGAAATAGCTGGGTCAAATCACCATTTGACCCAAATCTTCTATTTCCAGCTTTCCAAGGAATCTCCATACTGCTTTCCAAATTGTCTGCACCAATTTGCATTACCACCAGCAATGTATGAGTGTACCTTTTTCCAACATCCTCACCAGCACTTGTTGTTGTTTGACTTCGTAATAGCTGCCATTCTTACTGGAGTGAGATGGTATCTTAGAGTAGTTTTAATTTGCATTTCTCTGATTGCTAGAGATAGTGAGCATTTTTTTGTGTATTTGTTGATTGATTATATATCTTCTTCTGAGAAGTGTCTGTTCAGGTCCTTGGCCCATTTGTTGATTGGGTTATTTGTTTTTTTGTTGTTTAACTTTTTGAGTTCTTTGTATGTATTACATTTTAAATAAAAAGGAACTTACCAAATACTATTAAATGCCAGGAACGCAATTTTAAGTGGACTGAATAAAGAGAATAACAAGATTTAGTGTCTGATATCAAGAGGATGACAGGCAGATCCTTATTACATAGAGGCATCTATGTGAACAAATAAATTCAGTAAAACACAGTGAGTTTTATATGGTGCTGAGGATCACACCCAGTGCCTCACATGTGCCAGGCAAGCACTCTACCACTGAGCCACAACCCCAGCCCAACACGATGAATTTAATAATAAGATTCAAACAGTATCCACTGGGGCCACTGAGAAAGGAATCATCATTTCTACCTGGGTCAGGGAATACTTTCTAAAAACTGAGTCTGTAATGATAAACAGGGTGTCCCTTCTTGGCATAGGGGAGAGAAAGGCAGGCAGGATAATATGAATTAAAACATGAAAACCTGAAGCATACTGGCATATTGTGGAGCTGTAAGTTCAGCATGGCTGGAACAAAGAAATCAGACAGGTGAAACTGGAGAGCCAGGGCTGGGCTGGGGCTCAGTGGTCGTGTGAGACACTGGGTTTGATCCTAAGCATCACATTAAAAAAATAAAAAAATAAATAAATAAATAAAAAGATATTGTGTCTATCTACAACCAAAAAATATTTAAAAAAATAAAAAACTGGAGAGACAGAGACAGGCTAGATCCTGGAGGGCTTTGAAAATACTAGCATATGTGCCAATTTTTTTTTTGGTACCATGGATTGAACCCAGGGGCACTTAAGCACTGAGCAACATCCCCAGACCTTTTTAATTTTTAATTTTGAGACTGGATCTTGCTAAGTTGCTGCAGATGTCTTTGAACTTGGATCCTCCTGCCTCAGCCTCCCAAGCTGCTGGAATTACGGGTGTGTGCAACTGCGTCTGGCATGTGCCAACTTTTATGGACAACCTTGCTCAGGATCTAAGTGACATTACTCATGTTTATCCATTAACATTTGTTGAGTCCTGCCCTGTGTGTGCTGAGCACAGTGCCAGGCCAAGACCATCCATCACTTACATGTATGCTACACTGATGACAGCTCTGAGGTAAAGTGACACACTGAGGCAGAATGAAATGCTTGTGCTTGCACATCATCTTATGACAGCGCTGGCCTTCCTTGTTCACCTCTCCAGTTAACTTAAGTGGGTTTTGCCTTGACTTTTTCATGATTGTTAGCACTGATACTTATACCTTCTGACAGTCCCCAAGGGGAACCCAGAGTTAACTGTGCATTGCCTGTTTGATTCTTCCAGTTTGTCAGAAGGACAGTAAGATTGACTTAGACCCTAGACACAACTATAAGTCATAACTTCAAACAAGAATGTCATCATTGCTGGGAGTGTGTAACTCAGAGGTAGAGCTTGCATAAGGCCCTAGGTTTGATCTTCAGCACCACACTGATGCTGTGGTGCTAGGTTTGATCTGACAGCACTCTGTCCCAGAACATAGCGTTCTATGTTAGGACTTCTCTGCTGCATAATGATAAGGATTCCTCCATGAGGGTCCAGAGTCAGGCCCTGCAACAAATCCCAGTTACTTGGGAGTCTGAGGCAGGAGGATCACAAGTTCAAGGCCAGCCTTAGCAACTTAGCAAGACCATGTGTCAAAATAAAAAAAAAAAAAT